TGAGTGCACCGGACTTAGGGATCTGTAGGGTTCTGTCCAGCTCTGAATCCTGTGATCTCTGATCTCATCTTTAACCTCAGCAGCACCCCTTTATACACTGGTTACTGCCTCAGTGTCCTGCCCACCATGATATGACGTCAGACAATAGATCGTGTTACTGAGAAAACCCTCAGATTCTGCAGCGATGAGGACAGATATATACACCTATGCCCCATTGAAACATGTCACCCTGAACACCCAGCAGACTTAGGTCAGGCTTAGCAGCCCCCACCCCCCTCTTAGAACCACCCGGGTCCCTGATAGATTGTGCTGACCCATTCCTTCTTCCTCCTCTCAGCTGCTGTCGTCGGCACCTGGATCCAGTCAGCGTCTCCTCAGTCTTCTAAAATGAAAGTGGAGCCCAGCCCGCCCTATGGAATGGTGGGGGGCAACATCACCTTGTCCATCCTGGGGCTCTCAAAGGAACCTCGAAGCTACACTTGGTTCAGAAAGACGACAGATGATTCCAACAGGATTGTGACCTACAATGTTCGGACAGGACAGCAGACACCAGCCAAAGGTCGAGAGATTGTATTCCCCAATGGTACTCTGCTCATCACCAACCTCACCCTCAGTGACAGTGATGAGTACATCGTAGAGATTTTTTCTACAATTCATGGTCTAAGAAACTATCAGTTATCTCTTCTAAGGGTACATCTGGAAGTCTATGGTAAGTTCTCACCTCCCCCCACCCTCCCAGCCACCATACCATTAAGACCATGCCTCCAATATTCTCCCTCCATCTGGGGGTGAGAGACCTCCCAAGGAGAGCAGGGAGAATCAGAGATGTGCCCCAGGGAAAGAAGGTCTGGGAGGCAAGAACTCCCAAACCCAGATTTGCCTGGGGATGTGTCACAGAGGTGAGATGGGGTGGGGATCTCACACTTTCCTCCTCTGTCGGCCCTGGGGGTGAGATGCAGGACTGAGACCTGAGGTTTGTGCCTGGGGGGAAGCCCCCTCCCAGACAATAACCAGCCGAGACTCTAAGTGGGTCTTCCTTCTCCCTTCAGGGCTCACAGGGGATCGGGATGGCTGTTTCCTGGGAGTGAGGGGAAGGGGCACATGACAGCCCCCAGCAGTAGCTTCAGAGAACCACCCCAGGGTGCAGTTCAGATAGGACGGAGGTGTGTGAAGAAGAGAGGCTCACACCTGCGTGAAGGATCCTTTGTTCCTATGTTACCAACAATACCTTTAGTCCCCAGGGAGAGATGAGCTGAGCCTGCAGCCCTGAAATAGTTCTGATTAATTCTGGGAAGCCTGGCAGGAAGGGGGCAAGGAAGGGGTCTGGGCCGAATCAATGCATGCTCCCTACATGGGCTATCCAAACTCTCAGGGGGCAGTTAGTCACTGACTAGTCTCTCCTATTTTCTCAAGAGCAAAGAAGCCGTCCCAGGTAGGACAAGTCCCAAAGAGAGGGGGCTTTTGGACCTGCCTTGGTCCCATTAAAAAATCCTGGGACAGACAAGGATCCTGGAATTTTTGTTGCATAAAAAGCATTCATAAGGATTGTATATTTTTAGAGCAGAAAGGAACCTTAAAAGGCACATACTCCAACCTTCACATAACTGGGGCTCAAAGAGGTTTAGTAACTTGCTAGAGGTCACACAGGGAGTAAATAGCAGAGAAGCATTCAAATGGAACTGAGCTGAATCCTCTCATATCCTCCCTAATCCAAACTCAGAGCAAGTACTTGATGTTTAATTCCCTTTCTTCCTCCATCCTTTCAACTTTCTTTGGCCAGGCTGAGGAAGTAGGTTGGCCCCCTGAGGGCTCAGAGAGGTCTCTGAGCTCCCATTCTGCGCAGGCAAACAAGATGATCTGACCCAGAACACATCAAAGACAACACCAGGGGACAGGAGCAGAGTCACTGCCTGGGGCTGTGACCAGTAAGATCCAGGCTCATTCTTGGGCTCCAGGCACCCTGAGGGAAAGAAAATTGAGCTAGGTGGGGATACTGAGGGGAGAACTAGAGTGTGGCTACAGGTGATAGGGTCTAGACCTACTCCACCTTCCAGGGGAATGTCCAGGAGGGACTCAAGTTTTGCTTCCGGGCTCAGCTGGAGGAGGAACAAACTGTTAAATAGGTGATGCAACAGGTGGAAATCGCAAAGAGGCTCCTTTGGCCTCCAAATAAACACAACTTTCTGATCAGTGAAAGTTATCTGATATGGATGAGCTTCCTCAGGAGATAATGAGCACCCTATTGCTGGGTCTATTCAAGGAAAATCTGGACCATTTGTTGGGGAAGTTGGAGAAGGGATGCCTGTTCAGACCTGGGTCCTATTAGATGATGCCCGAGGCACAGAACCATAGAAACATGGAGTGTGAAGAGATCTGAGAGGTCTGAACTCCTTTGGAAGTCTGAGAGTCTGCTAGATGTGATGCCAGAGATGAATAGGGGGGCAGGCTGGGGGCAGCTACTGAGGCTTTCAGAGTGCTCCGCCATGCTCTCTCCTATAGCCCATAATGTGGGAAGCATTCCTAGCCTTCTGTGGCTAGCTGGGGCTGGGGAGACAGAGGCAAGTCTCAGCTTGGAGAGTGCCTTGTTGGGAGTCCCAGGCCCTTCTGCCCCTCACAAGTACTCAGCAGACCCTTCCTGAGCACAGGGGATGGTAAAAGACACTGACTATGGGAGGAGCCACTGGGGAAGGAGACTCAGTCCTCCAGACTTTTTGAAGAGTCTAAAAAAATGAGGACACAAAGAGATGCTCAGGCCCTCCTGAAGTTAAACCTCTGATATAATAAATCTTCAGCACTGAGATGAAACAACTTCTGCCACGAATGTTCTTGTGGCTTGTTCTTCTGCCATTCTTCAGTCGTGTCCAACTCTGTGAGCCCATTGGAGTTTTCTTGGCAGAGATACTGGAGTGGTTTGTCATTTCCTTCTCATTTTACAGATGAGGAAACTGAGGCAAACAGAATAAAGTGACTTGCCCAGGGTCACACAGCTAGTAAGTGTCTGAGGTCAGATTTGAACTTAGGAAGATGGGTCTTCTGGTTCCCATAGACTGCGCCATCTAGCTGCCCTTCTTATTCCCAGAGGCAGCCAGAAGTTTGCCCAACGGAAGCTGAGCTGGACTCACCTCTAACCTCCAGCCACTGCTTGCTGGGCAGCCCCATGAAGTGGGGAGAGCTCTAGACTGGGAGTCAGGAAGGAAAGCCAGCTTCTGACATTTACCTGTGATTTGGGGCAAGTTGTACCACCTTAGAGCTTCATTTGCCTCATCTGTAGAGTGGGGCTGTTATTCCTGGCCTACCTCAGAGCAACCTTGTTCTCACTCAGTATATGCACTATCTGCTGCACTGAATGTAAGCTTTTCCCAGCAGGATTTAGGGATTGTTTCATTCTTTGTGTCCCTAGCACTTAGCACAATGCCTGGCACATAGGAGGTGTTTGGTAAATGCTTGCCAGTTTATTGATTACCTGTGTCACAAGCTGTGATGAGGAAAGCACCTTAAATACAATAGAAAGGTGAGTTATTCACACACACCTTGGATTTAACCCAATTCAAGCATTTATTAAGGGCCAGGGAAGTGTCAAGGGTACCGTCATAGGAGAAAGTGAATCTGAATTCAACCTTTAAGGATGGTGGGAGTGAGAGAGAGAGAGAGAGAGAGAGAGAGAGAGAGAGAGAAAGAGAGAGAGAGAGAAAGAGAGAGAGAGAGACAGGAGGAGGAGGAGGAGAAGAAGAAGAAGGAGAAGAAGAAGAAGAAGAAGAAGAAGAAGAGAAAAAAGAGAAGGAGGTGTGAAAATAGGAGATGGACAATAATCCAGTTTGGATGGAATGTAAAATATAGAAAAGAAAGGATGTGAAATAACGCTTGATGGCAGTACTGGAGCGAGATTAGGAAGGGTATTGGATACCAGACTCAGGAGTTTCTACAGTGCTCCACCAGCAATGGGGAGCCATGGGAGGTCTTTTAGGAGGGGAGGGTCATGGTCAAAATGGTGTATTAGGAAGTTTACTTGGGCAGCGGTGGAGAAGGATGGGTTGGAGAAGTGAGAGAGACTGGCTGAATGAAACAGCTCCTAAATCCTACTGCAGAAGCTTACATTCATTGCAGCAGATCATACACGTACTGAATGAGTACCAAGTTGTTCTGAGGTAGGGCCAGGAATAACATCCCCACTCCACAGATGAGGTGAATGGGGGAAGAGCTGAAGGTGCCAGAAGTGGAAACTGCAGGTGGGGTTGGATGTGAGAACCATTGCACAGGTGGAATGAACACAAATCAAAGGGCCACAAGGGAGAACGTCAAAGCTGTGAGTTGGATGTGAGGGTGGATTCACTTTCTTTTCGGAAGCCATCCTGGATACTTCCTTGGACCTTTAAGGAGTGTTGGTTGGACTGGGTAAAATGCAAAGAGCTAAGGGGAGGGTCCTAGTAACAAGTGCCTCCCATTTCTATTGCACTCTAAGATGCTTTCCTCACAAGAGATTGTGACACAAGCAACCTTTACATTGATAAGCATTTATTAAGAGAAGGAAGAAAACAAGAAAACTAGCATGAATGAATGTTAGTTTCCTCTAACACATCTACTATGTTCCAGAGTCTCTACCAAACACTTTACCAAGGTTACATCATTTGAGATTCACAACAGCCTTGGGAGGTAGGTGCTAGCTACCATGATCTCCATTTTATAGTTGAGGAAGGTGAGGCAGAGAGTGGTTAAGTGACTTGCCCAGGGTGGGAGTAGCAGAGTTGGGGGTAGAGGGAAAGATAATGAGTTCAGTCTTAGGCCCACAGAGTTTGATGTGCTGGTTCTGTACCCAGAAATCGCAGATTGTTTGCCAGATACCTCACAATCTGACCCTTCCAGCTGAGGGACCTCCGATGTAACACAGTCCCACAGGCTAGGTCTGCTTCCTGTCCTGGTTTGTTTTCTCAGGGCTCCCCCTTCTGTCCCCCAAACTTCTTAGGGATCCTTTTCTCTTTTCACAACAGATTCGAATTTCAGAGGAGGGGCTATCGCTGGCATTGTGATTGGAGTCCTGGCTGGGGTGGCTCTCACTGGGGCCCTCGTCTATTTCCTGTACATCAGAAAGACTAGAGGGTAGGATAGCATTTCCTTTGAGTCTGTCTCCCTGAAACAAGGACTGTCCATTGTCCCCCGATACCGCTGCCTCCCTTCCCTAGCCTCTGACACGTGCTCCTACTGTTATTTTCCCACCAAGCAGGGAGTATTTTGAAGGTAGGCTAGCTGAGTTTTTCTTTCTGAGACAGCCAGTTCCCTCTCCCCACTAATGGCTCCCCCTGCATGGAGCCTAAATCTACTTCTTTGTAACTGCTGCCCATTTCCCCTTGTTCTGCTTTCTAAATCCAAAAAGAGGAAGTCTAACGTCTAAGTGCTAGGGCAGTGTCACTCACTCCCTCGAGCTCTTGGACCCACAATAATGATAATAGCTAACATTTATGTTGTGCCTACTATGCGCCTGGCTCTGTGCTAAGTACTTTATAATCATTATCTCATTTGATCCTCACAATAACCCTGTGAGGTAGGTGCTATTATTATCCCCATTTTACAAATGAAGAAACTGAGGTGAAGTGATTTTCTCAGGGTTACTTGGCTAGTAAGTGTCTGAGGCTGGATTTGAACTTAGGTCTTCCTGACTCCAGGTCCAATGCTCTATCCAGTGCACCACCTAGCTGACCTCCCTTGTACTTAACCCCCAGGCTAAGTGACCCCATGGGGGAAGACTGCTCATGGCTCTCCTTTCTTGCTTTTTCAGAGCTTCACAAGGGCTACTGGGAGACCCTGGACCAGGAGGGAAGACTCAACCAGATCAGAAGCCTAGTGAGTATGGCCCCTAGGAGGCAATGTGATGCAGTAGAACAAATATGTACTGAGGAGTCTGAGGTCTGACTCTGGCCCTGCCATTGACTCACTCTGTGACTTTGGGCAAGTTCCTGCTCCATTCCAGCTCTCAGCTTCCTCATCATCAGGTATTGCCCCCCCATTTCTTGACCTGTACAGCCTCTCAGAGACCTTTCCCAGGCTCTTGTCATCAGTCATACAGGGACAAGGAACTTCACTTCTGTTTTTTTTTAAAGGAAAACTTCCTTGACAACTGATAGTTCCACATCTCTGCTTGTTAAGTCTTTGATGATCAAGACAGTTTCAAAGATCTTTTAGTCTCCTCATCATGATGACTGATTTACATTGGCTAAACTTTCTTAGGATTTGAAGACTCATTGTGGTAATGTCTGTTCCTTTATCTACTTCCATGTTTCAGCCTCAATAGTTACTTTAAATAGGTCAGGCTGTAGTTGACTTTATTGCTCACCATTTCTTCTTAGGTGGTGTAGTAGGTAGAATACCAGAGTTGTAATCAGGAAGACCTGAGTTTGAATCAGACACTATCTGTGTGACCCTGGACAAGTCACTCAACTTCATCTCTAAAATGAAAATTATAGTCCTTACGAGGACCAAATTATTTCTAGTTTTCCATGATTCTTGTCTGTAAAATGGGTATTATAATAGTACTCCTCCTTAGGATTCTTGTGAGGATCAAATGAGTTCATATTTGCAAAGTGCTCTGCAAACCTTAAACCGCTTAAACAAATGTTAGCTAATATTTATTCTACTTTGGTAATGATTTTGCATTTAAGAAGCTGGTGGTCTAACTGTCCACAGGCAGATGATGTAGAAATAACTCTCACACTGGATACTGGTCATTTCTTTTCTGTTAGAATAGAAAAAAATTTTCTGGATGATATTATTTGGTTCTTTCCTGTCATGCCCAGAACACTCTATCATTCTTCTATAAGAAAGCAGTCATGACATGTAGGTGTGAGGCTTCTGTAAAGTCTACAAGTCTGTAGATGCTCTTGTTTCTTACCCCATGAAACATGTTTTCCTACCCTACACTTACCCCACTTCGTATTGAAGTTGCTGAGTGGGGAGGTGTATGTTTCTTTCTATTAGAGGGTCTTGCTGAGTTCTTGTTAGGATATCTTCTGTATTTCTCTTGAGCAGACAGTGGAACATGAAACATCATGATTTCCCTGGTGGTCTTTTTGAAGATGTTCATCATGAGCCCTGCAGTAATAGATGAGCAAGTAGTTTCCCAGACAATGATGTTTCTCAATGTCTTGGGAAGAAAGCCCTTCTCCAGCTCCTTTATTTAATAATAGCTAATCATTTTATTTCCTCACAACAACCCTGGGAGGGAGGCGCTATTATTGTTCCAATTTTAAGGGAACTGAGATAGACTGAGGTTAAGAGACTTGCCCAGGGTCACACAACTTGGAAGTGTCTGAGGTTAGGTTTGAATTCAGGTCTGCTTCTAGGACCAGCATCCTGTGTACTTTGGAGTCATCTACCTGCTTTTATTTGCCTCTCCAAGGAGATCCTATGAACATTCTACAGTTTTCCTATTTATCTTACAGATATTCTATCATCCTATTCTACAATTATCTCTTCCACATCGTGACTTTCCCCATCATGGTTTCAATATATCGCAGGTCAGCATAAGAAATGAAATGGGATTTTGGGGGACATTTTGTGAAAGCTGCAGATGACATGAGTAGGTCTGTAAATGACACAGAAAAAGTTTAGAAACTCAGAAATGCATAAAACATGTGTATAGTATAACATCAACCCAAATTTTACAATAAAGTACTGTAAACACCCTGTGAAAGAAAAAGAAAAAATTCTGACTTTTTCTCTGGTATGAAGGGAAGGCCAAAACATTTTACGTGGATTTTCCAGATCACAGGGGTGCCATGCCTCTGACCCCTTCAATGTGGAAAGGATAACCATATTTAGTTCGAGTTCCTCTTGTCTTGTGGTTTCATTGATAGTGAGTAAGACAGTAAGATAAGTCAGAGAGAGTAGGGATATTAAATCTGACACAATTCCATTTCTTCCAATTCTTCCAACCATTGCAATTCCAATTCTACCAATAAACCAGTTCTCTCAATAGTATTCAGTTTAATTCAATAATCATTCATTGTTCTACTCACTTATTGGTCATTGGACAAGGCTGTCATGTTTAGAGGACTAGCACTTCAGGTTTATAAGCATTCTAAAAAAGGTGTGACTCTGGGTATCCTTTGGTCTCTGAATCTTTCTGTTGGTGTTTTGATGTTGTTGCAGTTTTACAAATTTTTTATTTCACTTTTAAAAATATGATTGACCTATTTTCTGTTTATTAGGAAATATACACTAGTTCTTCTTTTGACACTAGTGCCATAATCTCTTTTTTTGTTGGTTTTTTTTTTACACTAAATATGTCAAATTGACTGACATAGTATCAAGCCTGCCCTGCCTGTCTGCCCCCCCTTGACGTTCTTCCTGCTCTCTTCCATGTATTTTTAAAAATTAAATTAAATTAATTTTTTGTTGCATTTTTAGTTCCAAACTGTCTTTCTCCCCACTTGCACTAGAAAAGGTCACCATTTCTCTCTTTCTCTCTCTTTCACACACACAGACACACACACACACACATACAGACACATGCACCTTTATATATGTATATGTGGGCAGCTAAATGGCACAGAGGATAAACTGGACCTGGAGTCAGGAAGATCTGAATTCAAATCTGGCCTCAGACACATATTAACTGTGTGACCTTGGGCAAGTCAGTTAACCCTTTTGTCTTCAATTTCCTCATCTGTAAAAATGAGCTGGAGAAGGAAATGGCAAACAACTCCAGTTTCTTTTCCAAGAAAACCCCAAATAGGGTCACAAAGAGTTGGACATGACTGAAATGACTGAACAACAACATATGTACATGTTTGCATTTATATTTATAGATATAGTTATGGGGGAGATGCAAAGGAGAGAATTCCCCAAACCTCTCCTCCCCTCAAAGAGAATCAATTTCTCATAGAATTCAGGCTCAGGACATATTAAGAAGACTTACTGTCTTGGTTTTTCTCTCTCTCTAGGTAAGGTTCTGGAAAATATTTACTGGCTACAAGACTCAAATCCTTCTGCACAGGTAGGGACAATGAATCTCTTTCAGTCGTTATCACTGTTTTTTGGGGGGTGCTTAGCAAAGGGCGGGAAGGAAGCCCTTCACCCAGAACTGGGTCATATTCCTAGACTCTGAGCCCTAAGCACTTTGATGGTGTTGAATGGTTGGATGGGATGATTTCTGAAGAATGCTACTGTTGGGAGAGAGGTAAGGCCAAGATCATGCTCCATGAGGATCCATGGAAAGATCTGATGCTGGTCAATGTGGAGAAAAGGTTTAGAGGGGAAAATAGTCATAATCTTTCAGGGTTTTAAGTATAGCCAAACACTTGTCCCCAGAAAGAAAAACTAGAAGCAATGGGGGGTGGGTGGGATGTGCAGATAGGACAATTTAGGCTAGATGTAAATAAAAACTTATTAACAACTAGATGTAGTTGAAAATGGAATGGGCTGCATTGAGAAGTGGTGGAGGTCTTAATTCAAAGAGCAAAAGATAGGAGACTCACCAGAGTGTGGGAAAGTGGATTTTTGCTCTTTTGTATTTGGGGCTGGTGGGCTTCTGAGATCCCCCTGAAGTCTGAGATTCTGGGATCTCTAAAAATCTTTGGTGATCTGACATGTTCTAATGCCCCTTCTAGCTCAGACATTCCATGTTCTAAGGTCATTCCCAGATCTGAATTCTGTGTTCTAATATCCTTTCTTTTCATCCTCATATAATCAGTTTAATTAGACTAGTAAAATCAGAAAGCATTAGACATTTGTATCATAGAATGCAATATTCCAATCACTTCTCAACTCCAACCCCCAAAGCAAAACATCACTTTAAGGTTGGGGTTCCATTTTCACTCACTTAATTCTCCCATGTGGCAGGAAGGAAGGGTAACCCAGGAGTTCAGCATTTTAAGCTCCCATTTGAGTGGAAGAGAAATACTCGGTTTGACTCCCAATACATTACCACACAGGGACTGGGGAGCATTGAAAGAAGATCCAGATAAACTCATGGTTGCAGCTGCTTAGGTGAACACTGGCTTCAGGTTCTCAGAATTCTGTACCTTAGGAACTTTGCCATTAATCAATGAACAAATGTTTAATAAGTGACTATTATGTGTCAGGTATTTTGCTTGGTGCTGAGGATAACAATGCAAAGAATGAAACAATGACTTTGCATTCTAATAAGAAGAGAAGTGCATGTAAAATATACATGGTATAAATATAAAGTTAATACTTACATGCACATGCATAAAGTAATTAAAAACAAAGAATTTGGGAGGAGGGCACTAACAGTTGGGAGATTAGGAAAGACTTTATGAAAGTGATTCTTAAGTGGTACCTTAAAGGAAGAGAGGAAATCTCTGGGGCAAAGATAAGAAGGAAGTTAATTTTAGCAGTAGGGAATAGCCATTGTAAAGGCTTGGAGGCAGGAAGTGCAGCGTCAAATGTGAGGACCAGAGAGGATGATTTATCTGAATTACAGGGTGAAGGAAGAAAAATAACGTCCAAGGAGACTAGAAAGACAGGTTGGGGCCAGGCTGTAAGGGTTTTTAAAAATTATTATTTACTTATTTTAACATTTATTTTTTTAAATTGGGTTCTGAATTCTCTCCCTCCCTTCCCTCCCTCTCTCCCATTGTAAACACAAGAAATATGATGTCAATTACACATGTGAAATCATGCAAATATTTCTATATTAGCCATGTTGTCCCCCTCCCCCAAAAGACAAGAAAAATAAAGAACGTGAAAAAAGTCTGCTTTGATCTGCATTCAGACTCTATCAGTTATTCCTCTGGAGGTGGGTAGTATTTTTCATCACAAGGCCTTCAGAATTGTCTTGGATTACTGTATTGATCGGAATATCTGACATTCACAGTTGATCATCATACAACGTTTCTGTAACTGTGTACAATGTTATCCTAGCTCTGCTCACTTCACCTCGTGTTAGCTCATGTACGTCTTTTCAGGTTTTTCTGAAAGCATCTTGCTCATCATGTCTTATAGCACAACAGTATTCAATACCACAATTTGTTCAACCATTTGCCAATTGATGGTCATCCCTTCATTTTCCAATTCTTTGCTGCCACAGAAAGAGTGGCTATAAATGTTTTTGTACAAGGAGGTTGTTTTCCCTTTTCTTTGATTTCTTTGGGATATAGGCCTACTAGCAGTATTATTAGGGCAGCTGGATGGAGTAATGGATAGATGCCAGATCTGAAGTCAGATGAGTTCAGATCTGGCCTCAGAAATGTACCAGCTGTGTGACCCTGGACAAATCACTTAATGCTGTTAGCTTCAATTTCCTCATCTGTAAGATGAGCTAGAGTAGGAAATGACAAACCATTCCAGTATCTTTGCCAAGAAAATTCCAAAAAGGGGTCACAAAGAGATGGACACAATTGAAAACAACTGAAGGACAACAAGTGGTATTGCTGGGTCCAAGAGTATGCATAGTTTTATAGCCCTTAAGGTATAGTTCCAAATTGCTTTTCAAAATGGTTGGATCAGTTCACAACTCCATCAGAGCTGCATTAGTGTCCCTATTTTTCCATCTCCACTTCTGCATTTGTCATTTTTCTTCTTTGTAATGTTAGCCAGTCTAATAGATGTGAGATGGTACCTCAGAACTGTTTTAATTTACATTTTTCTAATAAATAGTGATTTAGAGCATTTTTTCATGTGACTATAGATAGCTTTAATTTCTTTATCTGAAAACTGACTGTTCATATCCTTTGACCATTTATCAACTGAGGAATGACTCAGTTATAAATTTGACTCAGTTCTCTATATATTTGGGAAAGAAGGACTTTATCAGAGATACTTGCTGTAAAACATTTCTCCTAATTTCCTGCTTTCCTTCTAATCTGGGCTGCATTGGTTTTGTTTGTGCAAAACTTTTTAAATGTAAGCAGTATTATCCACTTTCCATTTTGTAATTTTCTCTATCTCTTATTTGGCCATAAATTCTTTACTTATTCATAGATCTGACAGGTAAAATTTTCCATGCTCCTCTAATTTGCTTGTGATATCACCCTTTATGTCTAAATCATGAAACCATTTTGACCTCATCTTGGTATACAGTGTGAGATACTGGTCTATACTTAGTTTCTACCAAACTGCTTTCCAGTTTTTCCAGCAATTTTTGTCAAAGGGGAAATGTTTGGAGAGTTCAACTGAGTTCTGAGTTCTTTCTTCCTCCATCTTCCTAATATCCTTTTGAATTCTGACATCTACAAGACTATGATTGATTGCTTTTTCCCCCTCTGTAGGGCCTGGGCCTCATACCCACCTCCTTTGCAGCAGCCCCTGAAAATGTCTACCAGGTATATGGACAGGGGAGGGGGCAGGTCTCATTTTTGGACCGAGGGAGAGGCAAAAATGCTGATTGGGGTTGAGTTTCTGATCAATGAGAGAGTCCAAGAATAGGTCTGGGATGGAGGAAATGAGATAATGGATGTGCTAGTACAACCATTAGTTTGGGACCAATACTCTTGTCCTATACACACAGAGACTCAGGATGAAAGGACCAATGATCTTTTAAACACAAATTATTCAGGAAAAAACCCTCTATTTGTTAAAAAAAAGAAACTTGGGAAAACTAGAAATTATTCCAGCAGAAATTAGACTGAGTCTTAACACCTTAGACTATCTTTTCACAATAAACTCTGAATGGATACACAATATTAATATTAAAGATCATACTATAAAAAATTGGAAGAAAAGCATGTCTTAAAGCTAAGGGCAGGATATGTGTTTTTTTTTTTCAGCCAAAAACAAGGTTCTAATAAGAACATCTGCCATATTTGGCCAGACTCTTTTTTTTTTTTTTTTGGCAATTGGGGTTAAGTGACTTGCCCGGGGTCACACAGCTAATAAGTGTCAAGTGTTTGGTCTGAGGCCTGATTTGAATTCAGGTCCTCCAGACTTCAGGGCCAGTGCTCTATCCACTGTGCCACCTAGCTGCCCCTAGACTCTTAAGGAATCTAAGCATTTGTATTACTAATGCCAGCAGTCCAGATCTTAAGAATCTGAGCCCATGGCTAGATTTTAAGAATCTGAGCCAGGATATACATCCTTCACAAAACAAAAGATATAGGCAATTACATAAAATAAAATAAATATCTTTAATTACATAAAGCTGAAAAGTTTGTGTTTATGCAGTTAGGTGGTACAGCGGCTAGAATGTTGGAACTGGAGGTGGAAAGATCTGAGTTCAAATCCAGCCTCAGACACTTAACTAGCTGTGCAACCCTGAGCAAGTTACTTAACTTCTGTTTCCCTCAGTTTCCTCATCTATAAAATGGGTATAATGACAGCACCTACTATCTGGAGTGGCTTGAAGTTCAAATAAGATAATCATTGTAAAACACTTAGCACAGTGTCTGGTACATGGTCAGTGCTATATAAATGTTAGTTATTATTTTTTGTAGAATACTTTACAAATCTTAAAACACCATATAAATGCTAGCTATCATTATGATGTATAGACAAAATGAAAGTAGCTAGCATAAGAAGGGAGTTCATTGAATGGGAAAAAGAATCGTTGGATCAAATTTCACTGATAAGGATTTGGTATCCAAGACATATAGACAATTAACAGATACATTATCATTACATATATATTTGTATATGGATATACATTTACATATATTTAAATATATAGATATATTTATATATGTAAATATAAAACCAAAAGCCATTCCTCAATAGATAAGTGGTCAAAAGATATTAACAAACCATTCTCCAAAAAGGAATTGTGAAGAATTAACATGGAAGAATGCTCCAAATCACTAATAATAGAAGTAATGCAAACTAAACAACTCCGAGGTTTCACCTCGCACCTGCAAATTGGCAAAGATGACAAAAGATGGGAGTGGTCAATTTTGGAGGAGTTGTGGGAAAATAAGCACACTGGTGCTTTTTTGGTGGAGCTGTGAATTGGCACAAATATTTTGGAAAGCAATTTGGAATTATGCAAACAAAAATGACTAAAATGTCCATCCCCTTGAACTCAGAGATTTCATTATCAAACTT